AGTTTGCATATCAACTGGTATATATATATATATATTTAGGGCTGTCCCGAATAAGGATTTACATAATCGAATCAGAATTGTCTAATCTTGCCTGTTCCTCTTGTGCCACTACACACATACACACACATCCACGCATACACGCTACACCCACACATGAGCACTGACCCTCTTCCTTAAGGGTCAGGGTTACAATTTTGGATTTATTCACGCACTTTAAAAACATTTATTAAAAGCTTCTTTGTTTTATTTACAACATTATATGTTGAAATCTATATTATAATAGGCTGTATATTAAGTTATTGGGAGAAAACTGGTAGTTCTATGTAAAATCAGACATTGAGCACTCCCAGATAAATGGTATGATCCTCGTTTCATAATTTCGAAGCTTGACTGTGAGATTGACAGTCGAATCAGGCTCTGCCCATCCAAGCATCGAATTTTTGACTATTTGGGGTTAGCCCTATATATATATATATATATATATATATATATATATATAATCTATCTCTACATAAATAAAACATCAAACACCCACAAACACTACATGAAAAGCAGATGGCAGGGCCTGACTGGTTCACATTCTTTATGAAGCGGAACCCCAGCATGGCAATGAGGAGTTCAGAGGCAATCAGCCTTACACGGGCAACAGGTTTTAACCACACAAAAGTGAAAAAGCCTTGGACAGTTCATTGAGAGATACTACTTATAAAAACTGGTGTAACAACAGTCCAGTCACCAGACTGAGTCAAGCAGGTGTGCTTGTATTTCAGTTGCATGCACTGTGCAAGCACTGAGTAGTAAATAAAGGCCAGCAGTGCACGCGCACGTGAATACATTTTTGATTAATAAAAACATTTATCAAAAAATTATTTAAAATTTAATAAAAAAATCAATTTAAAAAATTAATAAAAATAAAACAAAAAGTATATATATATATAAAAAAAGATTGGGGGTCATAGCAAAGTTGAACAACAAAGACATGGGGGAGTGAAAATGGGTGTTTGTATTAGGGCGTGTCCGGCCTTATCCTCTATTAGCGGCGGTGGGGGGTTGATCACCAAAAGGTGAAGACGGGTGTGAAAAGGGGGGTTTGTGTATATGGGATGTCCGGTGTTATCCTCTAAAAGCGGATGTTTGGGAGTGACTTTAGCAATAGAATGTATATAGAGAGGGTTAGTTTGCATGTATACCCGACCCCTCTTGACGTCTGTTCATGACATTAGTAATAACATCCATAGCTATGTTTTTAGCAGCTGTCTTTAAATGAGGGGCAACAAATGTAAATCCTTTCTTGAGTAAGGCGAATGCTAATCTAAACAGACCCCTAAAGATACCCCCTAACCCTGCACCTTACTGAGCACCGAGCCTGCTGTGTCCTGATAAATCACCACCCGCTTGGGCTGTATAATATGCAACATACTTGTCCGCAATGTTTGCTCCTTGTCTAATACCGATATTTTACGGGTTGAAAGTGTAGCTTTATTATCACTTTGCCGTACGTAAAAGGGATATGTTGATTCTGATCTGTCTTGAGAGAAATCTTGATACTATCAATGTGTGTTTTGCAGAGCCTCAGATAGTGTGGTCTGTCATAAGTATTTGTGATCATATGGTTTGGACCCGATATATGTACTATTCTTAATACCGTTTGATGATCAACAATATCGGTATAAACAAATATACATCCCTACGTTAACATCGGCATGATGTGGCGCCAAATACGGCATCTGTGTCAACACTGTGTTAGTTCGTGGCTGAGATCTAAATGTTGCAATTCCCTCGTGAGTTTTAAAAGCCGTTCAACATTCAACATACAACATTTCTGCAAGTTTTCTTTGAAACGTTCTACGTCTCTCGTTGGTAAAATGCTTATTCTGTTGGTAATGTGGTTGTAATCAAGCTCAATGTGACCCATGACCTTTTCAGATAAACAACTGTCTAGTTCAGCTATTATCTGTGACATTGTTGTATAGAACCCGTGTCGCTGATAGAACTACCCTCTAGTTGGATTTTTTATCAAATACAGCAAATTTTGAGTCTTCAGATGAAAAACGTTTCCATGTTTTTGGATATTGTATTTCTATCAAACCCACCTCGTGTGCTGATTTAAAGTGTAAAGGCTTGGATAGTTTCAATCTAGAGTTTGCTATTGTATTGCTCGGGTAAAATAATGCAGACGAGTTGCAGGGCAGGGTGACAAAAAAATCCTCTGTATCCATTTATACATGTGTTTGTAATCTGCTAAGGTAGCTGAATGACCTGTTTTTCCAAAATCCACGAGTTAAATTTATCTGGCCATCCGACCCATTTGACTAACACCATGTCTTGGCCTTGTCTTTTCTTTCTAGATAAAATCTTTTCTAATTTAAATGTTTTGTTTTTATCTATAATAACTTTTTGCATCTCTTGCTCATAAAATGTTCCCTGTAATACAGTATTTCCCCGTCATAGTCTTTTAACCTATAACCAGGAGGGTCCCTTGACAGCATTCCTTTGCAGTGAAATATTCAACAGTATAATTTTGCTCATAACTTTTTTTAAAAGGGCAGCATAGTTTTGAAATTCTTACAGTTGTTACAAGTTGCACAAGTTGTTAAATACGATATCTTCATTGTCTTTTGTTACATCAATCGGTTTCATTTTAATACTACGATGATAACTATGATTGTAGGAGGTGACTAAATCCTGCAATATATCTACATATCGTTTAGAATTATTGGCTGTTAAATAACGCCACATTTTGGATTTCAGAGTCCTGTTAAAGCGCTCTACTACAGATGCCTTAGTCTCATTTGATGTGGTAAAGTGTACGATACTATTAATTTTCATTAACGCATCGAAATCTTTGTTTAAGAACTCTTTTCCCTCGTCTGTTTGAATTTTATGCGGTATTCTATCTTCAGCTAAGATATCTTTAAAGGACGCTGTGACGCATTTACCACTCTTATTTTTGAAACAACGCACCCATGCGTATTTTGAAAACAAATCTATACACGTTAATAAATAGCGTACCCCAACATTTTCAGTTGAACAAGCGGACATGTCAACTAGATCTAGCTGGAATTGCCAATCTATTGAATTCACTAAAACCTTGTTTCTCTTAAAATGCACTGGGGCCGTCTTGTGTAGAGTATAGGCGTCTTGCTTCATGAGCCAGTTTTCTGTTTGAATCTGCATATTGAACTACAGTAGTATCAAATATGGCCTTTTTTAGTTTTTGCTTGCCTCCGTAAGCCCCTGCATTTTCTGTCGCATAGTATATATTTCTCATCACCTCCTCCATGATCTTTGTTACAAAGACTGACGCTTCAACGTCTGTGTTCAAGTATTTTATTTCCAGCGACATACGCAACGCATATCCGTCAGCAATGATTACAAGTATACACTTTTCAGAAAATCAGTACAAGCACCTATGTTTTTACAAACCAAAGATTCAGTTAAGCAATACATCCTTAAACCCTTAAACGGCTTGACCCTGCTCTTATCCTCTTCTGCTTTTTCTTCAGGAACGAGAAATGTTAAATTTCTTTTCCCCAGTTCTTTGCCATAGTCATTCACCCATGAGTTAGCGCCCAAGCCTTTCGTTACAGAAAATCAGCCAATGTTGTTGGTGGACTCTTTTTTTCTAGGATCCACACTCATTGCAACAGGATCTATAATTATACGTCGTTTTGGAGTCATTACTCCTGATTGATTACCTGCGACGTCCATGATTGTGATGCTGCAAAGATGGCGCTGTTGTTCTGCACGAAGATAGCTCTGTCCGATACGGATTCACCCAAAAATCGTCACTTTGTTCCACGCTCTCGGTCAGATGTAAGTAAAAAAACTAGCCCGCTATATATACAACCGATGGTGAACACTGCAAGTGTCTGGATGAAGATGAATCCTGCCAAGACAATGACGAGATGATATTCTAGTAAGTAGTATCTAAGTATTGTGAACCAACAACATTCAAGTAGGTTTCTAATACACATATATTTAGCCCTTCAATCCTGACATTTTTGAGGAGTGTTAACTATGCACCCTCACAAGTCACTCATCTTCCAGACCCCGGCACGTCATGAACAACCGCACTCTCCTCCAACTCAACTGGGGACTGCGCCTCTCCTCCAACCTACCTGGTTGCTTCTGGCTCCTCTGCAATTCAAGATATCACCATGTAAGAAAGAGTATCTTAGGAAAGAATAAAGGAAGCATAAGAAAAAATAAATAATGCCTGCCAAGAAGATGTTGTAAGCCAACACTGAGGATTCTGAGGCCTCAATAGACAAACACGTTTGTATTGTATATATGGAGCCATTCGGCCACTCAAAGTCTTAAGCAGTCTCAGGGCCCACCAAGCCTGCACTTCAGGGTTACCTACAGTAATTTGTCACCATTGTAACTCTGATTTAACACACAAATAAACACACACACTAGACTCACATATTCTTTACACAGGTACATTAGAGTGTAAATTAAACATACATACCATGAAGGGAGTTTGAAAGAGAGACATTGTTTATTTCAACAAACCTTTTTTGAAGCATATCACATGGTCACTGTTATTGCTTCTCTAATTGTTACAACTTACCCCAGCATGTGCTGGAACACCATGTATTTGATGTCATCTCAGGAGGTCTGTGATATCCTTGCAGATGTTTGAATTGGTGCCATTTGTAGTAAACAAATTTGATTACTTATTATAAAACTTGAGAAATCTAGCTCAAAAATTCAGTGAGTTGCAGGTGCTGAAGCAAAAAGTGTACCAATCCCTGGTCTTCCCTAGGGCGTCTGATTAAAGCCAACCTCTGATTACCGGCTAGGAAAATCAGGCTTGTTTATATTAAATCAACTTTTGGATAGGATGTCCCTTTAAGGGCATGTCTGGCTCTGTCTGCGCTTTTTAGCCAGGTGTGTAATTACGCACGCAGCTCCCCGCGGTCGCTTTGCTGCCCGGCCTCCCCCTGCCTGCCTGCGCTCAGTGGTTCGCTCCAGTCGGCGCTGTGTTGCTGTTCATCACCGCCTCACTGACCGGCGCGCAATCGGAGCTTCAGCCCGGTTACCGAGCGCACACTGAGCCTCACCGCCTGCTCTTCTCATCGCTTCAGCCTCTTTGAACGTTTTTGCCTCCTCCGTTGGAAGGTCAGTTGTTTCTTTCTCTTTTCTTATCCTATTTCTTTCTTGCTGGCTTGGTTTCCCACCTCTTATTTTTATGTTTTGCACTGAACAGCTGGTTGGATTTATCTCTGTCTCTCTGTCCTGCGAGTCTATACCGGAGCATTTACCCGCTGCTTGTTGCTGGAAGGAAGCTGTGGCTTTTGTGTTTATTTCCAGTTTCTTTTGTAGTTATTTTTGTGATAGTATCTCGCTTCCTTCTCCTTTCATTTTAACTAATAATGCAAAAAAACCCCAAACCAGTCTTTTTTTTCGCTCTCTCTCTACAAGATTTACTTTGATATTCGTTTTTTCATTTTTCTGTTTGCACTCTTATCTCATTCTTGCAGTTTGATTTCTTCTTTTTTTGTAAAAGCCAAAGGGAATTTAAATGTCTCTTAAACTTGAATACTGCGCATGCAGCATGCCGGAACGCAGCAAGGACAAGGATGGTAAATGTGGTGATCATGATGAGCTGGTGTTGATGAGCCGATCTTCATCCACTGAACTGCTCCTTCTGTTGGGAAGTGTTTTGCAACAGGGATCTCAGTTGTGAATCTCGGTCAGTGTGAATGTGTGTACAGCAACACACACACACACACACACACACAGGCACGCACACATTTCACACACACACACACACACGCAGGCACGCACACATTTCAGGAGCCTGTTTCACTGTTGGTCCCCATGAAGCAGACCAGGAGGAGCTGACAGGTCGAGTTTATAACTCTGTCATGTCCTGTTCTGCATCCCTGATGTGTAGTATCAGCAGACTGGCTGTTGATGCAGATTTGAACCTCACTGCATGCTGAGAATATTTTATGACATGTCTTACTCTTGTAAGCCTACAGTCTGAGTTATGTCAGGATTTGTTTTGATATTGACCAGAACTGAAAATCTGATTAAAATTAGATTTTTTTGGCCAAATCACAGAACACTCATCAAAAGATTGAATAAAAAGTAAGAAGCATATCCAGGAATAAGACTATTTGAAAGGTATGCTTTAAATTGTGTATTTGTTATTTCTTAGTTTTAGCTGTGTAAAATTCTGATTGTGGTGCCATCAGCAAAGTATGGGAAAATGAGTCAACTCCAAAATAGCATTCAGAGACGTATTTAAAGGAGTCAAGTGTGAGATGTATTGTAGCCTTTAATAAACAGTTGGGTCGAATAAATTTGCCAATTTTTCTAAATGAGGGAAATCTGTGAAAGTTGAGAAATACAAGAAAAAACAAACAAACAAATAGAAATAGAAAACATAAGAAATGACTGTGAGATGTGGCTGAATTTATCTGGACTACCAAAAAAGCAAAAGCCACAGGCTTGGCTTTATGAATGAAAAAAAAGTTTACCATTTTAAAATAAATTGCATACAGTCTTGTTGTAATGAATTGTGTGAGTATCCTTAGCGTAAGAATAAAATCATAAAGAAAAAGAAAAGTGAAAGATGTCCCCGTTACAGTAACTGTCAAGTTTAAGCCTACAAGGTAATCTTGCTGAAAACTGGAAATTATGGATGCAGAAGTTTGAGCTGTTTTGCACTGCTAGCGGTATAGAAAGTTAAAGTCAGTCAGAAAGGCAAAGTGCAGGGTGCTATATTTCTGTATGTGGCAGGAGAAGAGGCAAAGTTTGCAACATGCATGTATTCCAAGATAATGAGAAAAATAAAATTAAAGTATCAAAGTTTCAAGAGTACTGTGAACCTTGAAAAAAACTTCACATCTGGCACATATTTTGTTACAAAGGCTCAAGGACCTTGTGGTTTCTTGTCTGTTTGTCTGTATTCCATCACTTAGTGCTATGTCACGCGGTTTGTTGCTCTGATTGGTAAAGGGCTAATCAATTGCATCCAGAGACATTTTTGTCTCCACGGAAATTAAAAATGAAGTGACGTTCCAGACTAATTTGCATTTGCCAATTGGTCTGGCTATGTCAGGCTAGAGTACATAGGTCATTTTCTCAGCACTGATGGGCTAAAACCAGATGATGAAAAGGTGAGAGCCTTGCCAAGTTCATTCCCAGCTTATCTGAGATCAATGCTTCACTCAAACAGCTACTAGAGAGCAACACTGCATGGCATTAGGAAGACTACAAAAGAAACGTTAACAACAAGACCAATTGACACACTTTTGAAGTCAATAAACCTGAGATTGTCTGTGGATGCCAGTTCTGAAGTCATTGGAGCAGTCATACGGCAGAATGGATGGCCTTTGGTTTATGGATCATAAGCACTTACTATCAATGGAAATACGAAAAATAATTACTTGCCATAGTTTGTAGGTGATTTGTAGGTATTTTTGAGAGTGATCACAAACCACTTGAGAGCATCTTCAAAAAGCCACTTTACCAAGGTCCCATGAGGCTGCAAAGGATGCTTCTCAGACTTCAGAGGTACACTCTCACAGTCACATATAAGCCAGGAAAAGAACTGTACATTGCTGATGCTTTGAGCAGTGCTTACCTCAAAGAAGAGCTGAAGGTCGACTGGATTACACCTTCTTCGAAGATCAGTTGCACATGTTCAGGAAAGCAACAGCAGATGATCCTGAAATGCAAATTGAAAGAGACTTTACAATGAATGGTCAACAGAAAACGATGAAATGTAAACAAAGATCAAGGGACATTCTATATTCACCAGGAATGTTAACTCAAAAAGAGGACATCTTGTTTGAATGTGCTGTCTGTAATTAAAACAAAAATGGCAATCCAAGAGAGCCTCTACTTCCACACACTACCAGGAAGACCATGGGAGAAGATTTGCAAAGATATCTTTCACCATAATGCAGAATATCTGCTTCATGAGGACTACTATTAAAATATCACCGAGTTGAGCGACACGACCCGTTGAGGTGTCACTGCCGCAATGAAGTCGACATTCACAAGTTTTTTTTGGAGAGCTGGGAATTTGAACATGTTACTTCCAGTCCAGGGCATCCACTTCAATGGACAAGCAGAGAGAACTGTACAAACCGTCAATAACTTGCACAAAAAGGCACAGAGCAGCAACAGTGATCTTTACATTGCTCTGCTATAATACTGCAGCACACCGATGGAGGGTGGGGGGTTCTCTCCTGCACAGCTGCTAATGGAATGTTGTCTAAGGTCCAAACATCCAACATCTTTAACTCTGACTGCTGAAGGTAAAGCTCAAGTACTTGACAATCAAAAGTACAGGTAAATGAAGAAAAAGAGCTACTATGAAAGACAAACAAGACAGTTGCCAGATCTGCAAATAGGTGAAAATGTCAGAATACACAGAGGAGACGCATGGCAGCCAGCTGTGGGTGTGAACAGACATCAGCAACCTTCATAGTTCACACACTTGATGGAAGAGTCTACAGGAGGAACAGAGAGCATCTACTAAAACAGGCAAGAGGGAGTTTCCAGATGCACAGGATTGCATATACAGACAATGACAATGACATTAATAGTGACACAGAACGCAAAGACACTGACACTCATTAGGGACAAGCACAGTTACTATTGTATCACACAGTGTGGGAGACAAGTCAAGCTTCCAGCTAGATACAAAGATTGGACATACAAACAAATTTACACACATTAAGGCAATGTCACACACGCGTTATATGTAAGTGCGGAAAAAAAAGAAGAATTTATTAGTCTAAGTGCTGGAAATTTGGGATTTCAGTAGAGATGTTTTTACATTGAGATTTTTTTTATTGATTTCTTATTGATTTTACTCATTGTAATGAGAGTAGGGCTGAACCCCAATAGTCGAAGATTCAATGCTTCGATGGGCGGAACCTGATTCGACTGTCAATCTAATAGTCGAAGCTTCGTAACGAAACAAGGATCATGCCATTTTTGCGATATGGGGGTGCTCAACGTCTGATTTTACATAGAACTACCAGTTTTCTGACAATAAGTTAATATACAGCCTATTACAATATACATTTCAACGTTTAATGCTGTAAATAAACATGTAAAAATAATAAAACTTTCAATAAATGTTTTTAAAGTGCGTAAATAAATCCAAAATTGTAACCCTAACCCTAGGTCCGTCTGTGCGCATGTGTAGGTGTAGCATGTGTGTAGTGGCGGAAGAGGAACCGTTGCTGAAGAGACTGAGTGGAACTCCAGCTTCACTGGTGTTGTGCCGAGTTGTCTGCACCTCGCGGCACTTTCGGATAATTTATCACCATTGATGAACCACGCAAAGAATATTATACTTGAAATAGACCCACGAGGAACCGCGACGTGCATGCAGTTGTCGGCAGCACGGCACGGTCTTCAAAAGCCTCAGTTTAGCTGGAAATTTACAGTGTAAGTTGAATGAATAGAGACTGCAGCTCTGCAGCTTCTCAAGATTTGCAATCATGGCGCAAAAACACACAGGATTCGACTATCGGTTGACTATAGGCAGGACTTGACGATTCTGATTCAACTATGTAAATTCTTAGTCGGGGACAGCCCTAAATGAGACCTACATAAATCTCTAACAAAAGTTACTTAAATTTACAAATATTGCAGATATCTACTGATTATTTCCTTGACAGATTTGATGTAGCTGACAGACTTCTTGACAGACTATTCTCTGCTCTGCTGCTGTCTCCTTTCCTACTCTGCTCTCCTCTCCACTGCATTGTTTCCTCTCCTGGCTCCATGGCTAACCCTACCTGCTAGCACTGCTATAAAATTAAAGTGTTAAAGTTTCAAGACTACTGTGAACCTAGAAAAAAACTAACTGTACATCCGACACATGTTTTTTTACAAAGGCTCAAGGACCTTGTGCCTACTTTGTCTGTATTCCATCATTTGGTGCTATGTAGGGTTAGCCGGTTGACGTGTATATATTTACTGACGTAGGTTTAGGCACTAACTTAAGGTAAGGGTAAGTTGCCTCGGGGGACTGTCAACTGTCACTCCAGGGTGTCATATACAGACGCGCTTCCTATACACGCAGAATTGACGTTTTGCGTGAAATAAGCGAGTATATATGACGCCTGAGATGAGAACAGGCTGGT